TTTTTTTTTAATAAAGAAATTTTTTTTGCATGAAATATTTCTAATTTCTTTCTTCATCATCACAATTTCGCAGTGAAACAAATCATCAGAACGATTGTTGAAATGATAAAGATAATAATATCGAAAAAAGAGAAAATCCTCAAAGATATTAATACACTTTGCAATTCCCTGGTTGGGTATCATCATTATTGAAGAGAAATTCTGCATAAATAATTTTTTTTCCAGAAATCAATCTCCAAAATTATCGAGTGACTTCCGAGAAAAGACATTAGCACTTAAAACTCGTCGAAGAGTGTTAAACGAATGAATTACCATGGGATTGAATAAGAAGTCTGTTACTCTCCACTGCTCCCTGACTTGGAAATACCGGAATGGTGTCAATGGTCTCATTTTCAGGGGATACGGCACTTGAATGACTTGAGACGTCTGAATCAAGTTGACTTTTCTCGCACGGAATTTTCCCTTTGAGTTTATCTCCACTCGCACTGGCTCGTATGCGTAGTTTGGATTTATTACCTCAACTATGTAGGATCCTGACGGGACGTTTGATATTGTAAAGGTGCCGTCCTCCCTGAAAATTAATATCAGAATGTAGAAAAGGGATTTCTCACATTGTTTTTAACATCAAGAATAATTATTTCTGTGAAATGAAGCTGAAACTAGCAGAATATTCGTCAGAAAATTCAGTTTAGGGGGTATTTAGGTGCAGGAGAATCAAATAATCATATGTAGGGGAGGGTGGGGCAAAACGGACCCTTTAGACTTTTTTAAAATTATTCATAACTCAGAAACAAATTGATCAATTGAGCTCAGTTTAGGCTCGTCACAAAGGGAAAGAATTGTTCTTTGTATTGAAAAAAAAAATTATTAAATTTTATCAACATTTCAACCTCTCATTAACATTCTAAAAAAAGTCAAGTGTCCGTTTTACCCCAACCTCCCCTATAAATGTTTTTCAAGTGCGAAAGAGTTTCTACATTACTTAAAAACATTTTTACACCCCTAGATTTCCCTGAGACAAATCTTCTGCTGTCGAATTTTTCGCCAGTTTCAGCTTCATTTCTGCGAATGTTACTTTGCAAGTATATTAGAAGGTGAAAGAATCGCGAGAAGGGATCGAAAGATTTTTTTTTTCGTAGAAAATATTCTGAACCACACGAATCACTTGACATTTTACATCAAAGCTACTAGCTTTGGGTTTTTTTACAAATTGATAACTGAAAAATTTTGTTTTTCTGAATCACCCCAGATTTATTTGTGAATTATGTACTAAAAGGGTTTATCTGAAAGGAAGCAGTCGAAAGAAATTTAGCAAGACACGAAAAAAATTGTTTTCATTAAATCTAAATCTAAATCTAAAATATTTAAATCTTGTTTTTAATTTCATAAATAACTATTTCTGTAAACCTCATTTTGCACTTTTGACATTTTGTGAAACGTTAATAATTCATTGAACCGTTGATGAAATGGGATATTTCGTTCGTCGTAAATGATGAATTCAGTAGGGAAGTGGTAAAGAGAGCTAAGTCAGTTTTGACTATTGACCAGTTTTCAATCAATATCTCGGAATCTAAGAGGCATAGCAAAATTTTTGTTATAACATTTTTTGTGGAGCCGATTGAGTGTTACAACGAATGTCATTGCGAAAATTTCGCTATCTCCCTTAGATTCGGAAATATTCCTGAAAAACTCAACTGGGAGATAAGTCGACTTATCTCCGTTTACCACTTCACTACTGAATTTATCTGAGTCATAAAAATAAAAACCATCAAGTTTCCATTTTGCCCCACCTTCCCCTAAGCATGATGTTGTTGAATTGAAATTATTAGTTGCAATTGTCTCAATTGTGCGATTAGAACTAGAGGATTATCTCATGATTATTGTTCAGACAAAGAGATTTATGAAAATTCATCAAAACCAATGTTTTGCAGAACATTTCATGCCCACAAAAAAAATCTGTTCACACTGTCTGAATCCTTTAGTTAGCGAGATAGATATCAGCAGTAAAAATGAAAGGAAAACAAATTACCTCAAAAATCCATAATACTCTCCCCCATTAGCCATGACATGTGTCATAATTTGCCAGCCTGTGGCACCCGCATGCTCCCAGGGAAAGACTTTTCCCTCGATGACATACAGATCTGTCGAGGAATCCTCATCGCCCTCGGCACTCACTAAATTGCACAGAGTTCCCAATAACACGAGAAGTGTAAAAGAATTTTTCACCCACGTCATGTTGATGTTACTTTCATCAGGTTTATTCACACCTGAAATCAGCTGCAATTCAGTCTCAAAACATTTCCAGCATAACCAACGTGAGATGCATCTAAGAAAAATGCCCTAGGGGTTAGCCCCAGGGACTTTCTTGTTCTGGAGTTGTGCGAGGTGACACTGCGTGAGCAAGTGCGATTGGGCAGTTTGAAAATTTTTCATTGCGGCGGCAGAAAGAGAACTGATAAAATGCTAGAAATAAACTCATAGAATCATGCTGTTCCATCCGGATTTTTAAGGTTTTAGTCATTTTTACGCGGTTTTTTCGTTCAAAACAGAATATTCTGTCTAGTTTCTTCTCCAGGAAAAAATTGGTGTTACCTTTTTGTCAGCAAGCCTGAGGATAAGGATAATACTTGTTTAAGATCCTAGATTATACATTCTTTTTGCTTCCGAATGAAAGCATTGTTTTATATTCTTTTCAAAAAATATATTTTCTGATTTTTTTTTCATATAGTCCAACCAAAACTTCTTTTCTTGCATGAACTTAGTTTGAGGTAACGAGTTTCCATGGTTTCTATTGTCAAATCGTTGATTTGTCAATGAGAACAAAGGAAAACAATTTTTTCCGAAGGGAAAAGAAATTTTGGTCCGACTATAAGGGAGGATGGGGTAAAATGGACACTGGACTTTTTTTTTAAATTATTCATAACTCAGAAACAAATTTATCAATTGAGCTCAGATTAGGCTCATCACAAAGGGAAAGAAATGCTCTTTGCATTGAAAAAAAAATTATTGAATTTCATCAACATTTCAACACGTCATTAATATTGAAAAAAAGTCAAAAGTGTCCGTTTTACCCCAACCTCCTCTATAGATAACAATTGAGAAAAACAACTGCAAAAAACGGATCATTGTTTTTTTTCTTGGTTTAATTGTTCAACTGTTAAACTTTTCATTAAATACAGAGAATGCACCAACTCAAATAAAATGGTTATATTTATCGTATATTATTAACTATGCATGAACAATTCTTCAGGAGTAATATATTATTTTCAGCTATTTTGTTCTTACAATCTAGGATGCATTGGAAGTTTATCGATAGCTGCATCCTAATTTTTCGCAAGCAATCAAACGCCAAGTCAATAGAAAATGAAATGAAATGAATGTAACACTAGACTAAAACATAAATTTTCTCTGAATTAAAAACGACATTAATTTATATCTCAAAAAATTTGTTTTCATCAAAACTCCATTTGCATGGATTTGTCAGACAATTTTTCCCCGCAATTCAAGATTAAATTTTTAGTCCGAGAAAAAGTTAATGCGAGTTTTTTATTCCATCAAGATGATGTCATGTTAATACAAAAAAATCTTTTCTGAGGTTTCCTCTGCAAATAAACTGATGCCTACATCAATATTTTCTCATAATAAACAACGAACTTATTCATCTCCTCAACGTCAAAAAAAATTGAATGCATGTATATTTTCCTTAGCACCACGCACGATAAAATTTAATGGAAAACTCTAGTCAATTCGCTAGACAATTCTATTGAATTTTTCTTCAACTTTTCTATTAGTTTTCGGCTCATTCTATTAAAATATTCAATAGAAAAAATTAATAGGATTGGATTTTTCTATAAAATATTTTCTATTGAACATTTCAACAGAATCGGCCAAAAAGTGGTAGAAAATTCAATAGATATCTAATAGAATCTAGCGAATTCGCTAGGTTTTTCTATAAAAAATTTTTTCCACGTGATATGCTCCTTTATTCCATCTAATTAAAAAAATCTTTACTTCCATTCACTTTAAAGGATCCCGTAAATATTATCTCGTGAAGGAAAATCAAAATAATCTTATGTCTTAATTCTACATTCTTATTTTTAAGAATATCTTTTTTTATCTCTCCAACATCACGGAAAATATCAAATGCATGCATATTTAATCCGTGCCTTGGAATATTTATCTCTCCATAACAAAAAAATCTTTACTTCCATTCGATTTGACCCCGTAAAATATTGTTCCGTGAAGGAAAATCAAAATAATCTCATGTTTCAATTCTCAATTCTTATTTTTAAGAATATCATTTCTTATCTCTCCAGTATCACGGAAATTATCCAATGCATGCATATTTAATCCGAGCCTCGGAATATTTATCGCTCCTTACCAAAAAATTTTTACTTCCATTCGATTTGACCCTGTGAAATATTATTTTTGAAGGAAAATGAGACCAATCTAAAACCTGAATTCTTATTTTCAAAAATGTCTCCTTTTCTATCCCTCCAACATCATTGACATTATCCATGGAATATTTTTCCTTTCGCAATAATAAAATAATATCCCCCCCCCCTAGAATATTACTTTGCGAAGGGTAGGGTAAACTGCCCAGCAGATGGACCGCTCAGTAGAGAGACGTTTGTTTTTTAGCATTTGAAAAAAAAAATTAGGGGAGGTTGGAGTAAAACGGACACTTTTGACTTTTTTTCAAATGCTAATGAGGGGTTGAAATGTTGATAAAATTGAATAATTTTTTTTTCAATACAATTCTTCCCTTTGTGGCGAGCCTAAACTGAGTTCAATTGATAAATTTGTTTGAGTTATGAATAATTTTAAAAAAGTCTAAAGTGCCCATTTTACCCCACCCTCCCTTAATCGAAAAAGAAAAATTCAAAGCAACAATTCACATTTCAATATTTTTTTGCGTACTTTCCTATTCAAAAGTAGCTCGTCCATCTACAGGCCAGTGTCCACCTACTGGGTAGCTCACCCTAATCAAGCAAATCCCCTCAATTTTTCGTGTTCAAAATCGTCAACACCATGCCCTTCAACATCCCGAAAATCCTCACCAGCGTAGGTGAGCGGTCCAACTTCTCCGCCACAAATGAATCGACGTCCTGCTTCTTCGAAAAAACCTCAAATACCTTATAAAACAACAGCCCATTGAAAACCCTGTGCACTGGCACTTGCGCATACGGAAAATCCAGAATGGAATTCAAGAGAATAGCACTCTTCAAGCATCCGTGAAACTGCGTGAACGTGTGGATGACGACTGTTGAAGGATTCCTAATGTACTGCCCCTCCTGGAACAGTTCGATGAAGAACAGTGCAGCCGCGATGCACTCCTCCTCGGTCACCATCTCCATCACTTCCGTGAGCCTCGCGTCCTTCATCCCCCTCCGATCGTCCTTGGGCTGCATCAAGATGTCCCTCCACCGCTCTCCAAACTCTTCATGAAACTTCTCCTTCGACCTGACGACTCCAATCTCCCCATCAATGACGCCGACCAACATGGTCATGATCACCGAGAGCGCATGAGCCTCAATCTTCTCAGGAAGAGCCTTCTGCTGCCTCATCCAGAAGACCAACGTCGCCACGTAGAGCCTCCACTCCTCCGGAAGTTCGTCCAACACCCCAACTCCCTCGACCCCCAGAGCCTCATCTAAGAACCTCTTCCTCTCCTCCAACTTCAGCTCCTTCATATCTCTCAAGTCAACCGTCGACGCCTCAACCTTGATCTCTTCCATCACTACCTTGTTGTACCTAGCGTAATACAACTCCAAGACGTTCTCACCATTGCCCCGCAGAGAGCTGACCAAGCTGAACATGGCCTTGAGAATAGGAACACTGGGAATGCAAGTGGGGGGATAGGCGAGGGCCTCATTCGTGGGTTTGAGAATCGCCGCTGAGAACATCATCATCTCGAAGGGAAGCTCGCGGACCTTTGCCCTCAGAAGATCCTCGATCAGCCATTTCGGGGACATCTCAACGAGCTCTTGCTCAGAATACTCGTAAGACATCTGCATCTTGCCACTTTCCATCGCCTTCGTGGCAGTGATTCCCCCCAACGCCATTGTCTTCCTGTCATTCTCGTCAAGAATCTTGAGAACCACCTCCTCAGGAAGCTCCAGGGCACGAAGGGCCAGAGGGGATCCAAAGCCAAGCGCAGCGATGCTCTTCTCAATTTCCTCACGAACAGTCGGCCTGTGCCTCGCCTCGACGTAGTAGAGAAGATCCGCCACAGCCGCCCGCAATGACGAAAACTTACTCAGCCATCTGAATGTCTTCTCGATCTTGCGTTGATGAAAGTTTCTGACTGCACTGTGGATTGATGCATTTATATGGCTGACGAATGACCCCATCATATCAGCGTCCAAACGACCGCGCCCATCCTTCGTCCCGAGAATTGTCAGCCCGAGCGGAAGTAGAGACGCATAGAGATTGTCGAACTTTCTGCAGAATTTTTGGACGCTATACATCTGGCATGACAACCAATGTGTCTTGGAGTGCCCTTCCCCTGTGGATCGCGGGGTCCGCAACAATGTGTTCCAGTGGATGAACTTTGTCCCCTGGATGTAGAAGTCTCCGTCTTGTGAAAGCACGGGGCAGTCGAGGGCTTTGGCAACTGCCACCATGGTTTCGTCGGCCTCCATTATCGTTTGGACGCATTTGAGTTTTAAACTGTCGATTACACTCAGGAAAACATCCTTCATGAGGTGCTGCATTGTGCAGTCTGACGATATCGAATTTGTGAGTTTGTCTTGGAATTTACGGACGTATTGGTCTTTGCTGAGGGCGTCGACGGAGTCCAGGATGATTATGGGCCGAATGTTGCAGAGCAGGAGGGCCTCGAAGAAGGTTTTCAGGGCCTCGGCGAAGATGTCGTACTGTCCGCCAAAGCTTCCGCGTTGTTTGTCGGTCGCGCGATAAACATTGCAGTAGACGTTTACACCGTCGATCACTAAATCCGTGTCGTGAAGCTGGTAGGGCTCCAGAAAATAATGCGAGTTCTGGTTTATGTAGGTTGACAGCCCACGAATACCCATTGTTGCTTGCAATTTTGTAGGCTTTCGATACGAATGTCGAACTGCTGTTATTACGCGTTAAATTTCTGCGGCGGGCAAGAGAGAGCTTCTTCGGTTTTGTACTTCCCACAGATTCGTCTCTTATGCTGAAAGTCTGAAGTTGACTGTATAGGCGTCGTCATGGCGATATTTGCTCAGGGGAGCGATTTTGCGCGTTTTTCTCCAACTAAAAATGATTATTTTTCGCCAGCTAGGAGGCGCTTTTGAACCGCACAATGACCCGCGGAGGGGGATAACGATCACTGAATGGCTGAATTTAAATTCCCGCCATTTTAGTCTACCATTCGTGCGATTGTCGTCCCCCTCCACGGGTCATTTTGTGGTTAAGGAGCGCCTCCAAGCGGGAAAAAAATAATCATTTGTCGTTGGAAAAAAACGGGCAGAAAAAACCAAAGAGGATAGACTAAAGTAGCGGCTCAGATCCGGGGGTTTGGCCGACCCCCAGCGTGTGGTTAGTACGACCCCTTGGCAGAGAGGGCACCGCGGCAGATTTCGGTGTCTGGCCGAGTTCGCTATTGGGGACGCTATAAATCGCTGCGATATCTGATGGGTATCGTCTGCACTAAGAAAAATGGCCGTCCGATGGTTTGTCGTTGGTACTTCAATCAATTGATTTCCAAATCCGATCAATTAGCCCCTCATGTATAGATATTCCAAATTTTTATTTTTTTCCTCATTGAAGTAGTTTTGAAGAAAATTGCGAGCTAATAAAAAACATTTGCTAGTACTTTTTTTAAAGTAAATTTTTGAAAAATCACCCCTGAAAAAAAAGGCGTTATTCCCCCTATTTCATTATTTCCAAAAAATTTTATCACCAATCGGTAGCAAATTATTTGAAGATTTTTGCGAGTTAAGAAAAAATCGTCAATGCACTCCTATTATTGTGTAAATGAACAATTCCAATTTCAACTGAAAACCAGAGTTGATGACCAGAGTTTGTAGCAGAGATGTCAGACAAGATATGAACGTTTTTTTGGGCTCAAATGAAAGAGCGGGTCGAGAAATGACGTGCTAGAGCCTCTAAACATGACAAATGTCTCTAAAGATGATATCTGTTTTCAATTGAAAAGCAGAGTTGTGACATCATTGTCTAGGAGGACAATGGGGTCTAGGAGTATGTATAGAACATTGGGGTCTAGGAGTCTCCCCTGGTTCAAAACCATCTTTAGAGGTCCTAGCACGCCATTTCTCGACCCGCTCTTTCGTTTGAGCCCAAAAAAACATTCATATCTTGTCTGACAGCTTTGCTACAAACTCGGGTCTTCAACTCGGGCCTTCAATTAAAGGCCCGAGTTGTAGACCCGAGTTTGTAGTAGCGATGTCAGACAAGATATGAATGTTTTTTTTGGCTCAAATGAAAGAGCGGGTCGAGAAATGGCGTGCAGAAGTCTTTAAAGATGACAAATCTCTCTAAAGATGATGTCTGTTTTCAATTGAAAAACGCAATTGTGACAACATTGTCCAGTGGGGTCGAGGAGTCTCCCCTGGTTCAAAACCTTCTTAGAGGTCCTAACACGCCATTTCTCGACCCGCTCTTTGGTTTGAGCCCAAAAAAACATTCATATCGTGTCTGACATCTTTGCTACAAACTCGGGTCTTCAACT